AGAGATCAGAAGAGGCCGGTGGATTCCTCTGGAACCAGAGTTCCAGAAAGTGTTAGCAGCCGGTGTAGATGCTGGGAATTTAACCCAGGTCCTCTGCAAGAGCAGCCAGTGCTCTTAACTGTTGAGCCATCTCTCCAGTCCCATTAATTTGGGTTTTTTGCTCTTTGGTTTATTGGTTTGCTGGTTTTCTGAGGCAGGATCTCACTCTGTAGACTAGGCTGTCTTTGAACTCATAGCAATCCTGCCCCAGGCTGGATTTTGAACACTCTGAAGGCAAAGGTATACATTATATTCTTTTTAGCGCTGGCAAATCAGTATGTGGAACAAGCACTTTATATCTGATGATGATAGTGAGGAGGAGGAGAAAGAAGAAGGGAAGAAGAAGAAATTGAACATAGTTGAGGATCAAATGGCTACTAGTGTTCTGAGTGTTTGCTTGGCCATTGGCTATGATGAGCCTTCCAGGAAGGGCTAAGCTAGGATATGGCCCAGAGGGGAAGAGAGGAATACATGCCCTCCACTGCCCAAAATAGTTCTTGGTAACCTGAGGAATTGGAGGCAGGGGTTAAGCTGGAGTCACGTGCTTAGGTCTGGCAAAGGACTGGAGGTGAACAAGGAGGGTTGCCAGCCTGGTTCTCTGAGCAGCTGGAAAGAGGAAGAACTAGAAGTTATTTTTTAAATATTGTTTAGAGCAAGAAAGAGGATTTCCCAGTAAAGACAAAAGGGAACTGACTGAGATAACACTGATACATCCACGGCTCAGAGTGACATGCAAGGTGAGGGGAGAATGGAACTGGTGACAAAAACCACTTATACAGTCCTGAGATCAACTTCTGAACTGATATTTGTGTAACTTGCTGGAGATGGTGGCACATACCTGTCAAACACTTTGGAGGTTTGGCTACATAGCAAATTCAGGTCAAAAATAAAGGAAAGAGGCTGAAGGGACAGCTCAGCAGTAAAGAGCACTGGCTGCTCTTGCAGAGGACACAGATTCAGTTCCCAGCACCCACGTGATGCCTAACAACCATCCATAACTCCAATTTCATGGATCCAAAGCTGCCTTCTGACCCCCATGGGCATTGCATGACATGGGGGCACTTACATACAGGCAGGCAAAACACTCATACACATAAAATAATTAAAAATAAAGGTAAAACAGGCTTGAAAAATAGCTCAGTGGTTAAGAGCACTGGCTGCTCATGCAGAGGACCTGGGCTCCGTTCCAAGCACCCATACAGCAGTGTCCATAACTCCAGTTCTAGGGGATCTAACACCCTCTTTTGGCCTCCATGGGCACTACACACATGTGGTACACTTACATGTGGGCAAAACATATGCATAATAAAAATAAATTTTGGTTTTTTTGAGACAGGCTCTCCCTGTAGCTCCAGCTGGCCTGGAACTTGCTATGTAGACCAGGTTGGCCTTGAACTCACAGATCTGCCTGGCTCTGCCTCCTTAGGGATGGAATTAAAAGTGTGCACCACCACACCCTTTTCTTGGTAAATGTTGTTTTTCTTTTATGTCTATGAATACATTGCATGATGTATGTAAGTACACAGGTTTTATGCAATGCTCTCAGAGTTCAGAAGAGGGTGTCAGATCCTGTGGAACTGGAGTTATGGATGGTTGTTAGTTGCCATGTGGATGGTACTGGGAATTGAACCTAGGTCCTTTGCAAGAGCAGCCAGTGCTCTTAAAAGCTGAGCCATCTCTCCAGCTCCATATCTTGTATTTTCTTCTTCACTCTCTCCCTCCTTCCCTCCCTTCCTACTTCCTTTCTTTTTCCTTCCCTCTCTTTTGTTTGAGACAGGATCTCCCTGTAGTCCCAGCTGGCCTGGAATTCACTATGCAGACCAGGCTGGCCTCAATCTCACCAAGGTCCTTCTGCCTCTGTGTCTTGAGTTCTGGGATTAAAGGCCTCTCTCTGTGTGACAAGGTCTCATTTTGTAGCCCAGGCAACCTCAAACTCCTTGTGTAGCCTAAGGTAGCCTCAAATTTGAGTGTGTAGTACTATGCCTGGCCTACCTAGTTTTCTTTAAACTTTGGTTTTCATTCTTCTAATATATGTGAAGACTTGGGATTTATATTCTACAGCACTATACTTATAGCCACACATGGTGGTACGTGCCTGTAATCTCAGCACCTGGAAGGTGGAATGAAGGCCATCCTTGGCTACATAGTGAGTTTGAGGATAGGATGAAATTATGAGACTGTCTCAAAAACAACCAAACAAAACAAAAGAGTTTTAAAAAGAAATTTGTAGCCGGGTATGGTGGCATATGCCTTTAATCCCAGCACTTAGGAGGCAGAGGCAGGAGGATCTCTGAGTTCGAGGCCAGCCTGGTCTACTTAGTGAGTTCCAGGCCAGCTGGGGCTACAGGGAGAGCCAGAGGCAGAGGCAGAGGCAGGTGGATCTCTGTGAGACTGAGGCCAGCTTGGTCTATATAGCGAGTTCCAGGCCAGCTGGGGCTACAGGGAGATCCTGCCTCAAAAATACCAAAAGGTGGGGGGCTGGAGAGATGACTCAGTGGTTAAGAGCACTGGCTGCTCTTGCAGAGGACTGGAGTTCAGTTCCCAGCACTCACTGATGCCTTCTTCTGACCTCCATGGGCACTACACAACTCGGGTGCACTCATATATATAAAATAAGTAAATAACCCTAAAAAGAAACTTGTGAGTTATGAGTATCTTTCTTTGAAGTCTTTCTAACATAAAAGAATACATAGGGGCTGGAGAGATGGCTCAGTGGTTAAGAACACTGGTATTTCTTACAGAAGACCTGGGCTCGAATCCCAGCACCCACATGGCAGCTAACAACTGTCTGTAACTCCAGTTGCAGGGGATTGGATAGTCTCTGCTGTACTCTGTGGGCATTGCACGACATGGGTGTACTTACCTACATGTAGGCAATACACACATACACATAAAATAAAAAAATACATATAAATGCATAACATAATGAGAAAACATAGGACCCATGCTTATTTACATGGATTTAGATATTCACTGTAAAACAAGGTATTCAGTCAAGAGGGTCTTCCTGGAGGAGGTGTGCTTTGAGTCAGTACTTAAAGGAAGTTATTGATTTATAAGGGCAGGGTCATGACAAGAGGTAAAGGAAATGAACTAGGAAAGGATTAAATGGCAGTAATTATCTATTTAATTAGTAAGAGGACAGAAAGCAAATTGGTTTTGCAGGCCTACCAGACCTTAGGGATTTCGAAGTAGTTAACTCGGTTAAGGCAGAGTGTTAATGAGGTCACAGTTCAGTCATGTATCCCAGTTAAATTTCTCTCTTTTACCCAACCAGATCCTTACTCTTCATTCTAAGCAGCTGCCTCACATGTGTAAACCCTGTAAGAGGAGAAGGGAACAAAGACAGTGAAACTGGAAGGAGTAAACTGCCCTTCAAGGTCATATGCCCATCAAAATGCCACATTTGAACTGGAAGGAGACTCATCACAGTAGTGGGAAGGGAAGTGGGAATGAGGCCATGCCCTCCTTGAAGCACCAAAGGAGAAAGGTGTTAGAAAAGAAATTAAATCATTCTGTGTCTGGGAGTTTCAGGGCCCCCAGATAGGCAGAAGAAAGTGGGTAAAAGGAAAAGGACAAAACGTTCTTGATTACTTAAACTTTTTATTGCATTAATTATTTGTGTGTGTGTGTTGTGTGTGTATGCACAGGTGCACATGAGTGTATGTGCACACACATACTCAGGTGTGTGGAAGAGGAACCGATTCTCTCCTTCTACTACGTGAATCCTGGGGATTGAATTCATGTCATTTTGCTTGGCAGTGAGTGCCTTTACCCAGTGAACCCTTTTATTCCTTGGTTAGGCTGTCTAGAACTTTTTTTTTTTAAATTTTATGTGTATGAGTGTATTGCCTGCATGTATGTGAGTGCACCCATGCAATGCCTTGGAGGTCAGAATAGAGCTTCAGATTCCCCTGGAACTGGAGTTAAGGGTAGTTTGTAGCCGCCATGTGGGTGCTGGGAATCAAACCAGTCCTCTGCAAGAGCAGTCAGTGCTCTTAACCACTGTGCCATCTCTCCAGCTCTAGAATTTTTTTTTTTCAGTCTTTTTGAGACAGGGTCTCCCTGTAGCCTCAGCTGACCTGGAACTTGCTATGTAGACCAGGCTGGCCTTTAACTCACAGAGATCCACCTGCCTCTGCCTCCCAAGTGCTGGGATTAAAGGCATGCACAACCAAGCCTGGCGTAGAACACTTTTTAATTTTTTAAAATTAATTAATTAATTAATTAATTAATTTTTGTCTTTTTTGAGACAGGGTTTCCTTGTAGCCCCAGCTGTCCTGGAACTATGTAGACCAGGCAGGCCTCAAACTCACAAAGATCTGCCTGCCTCTGCCTCCCAAGTATGAGGATTAAAGGCGTGCACCACCACGCCCAGCATAGAACACTTTTTAAAAAAAAATGAATTTGGAAAGACTGGGGTGCGTGGCATGCATAGCTCAGTGGTAGGGCACATAGTACTTGGTTCTCAAACACACACAGAGGGGATGTGATTACCTAGATTCTAGTCTTACTACTTAATTGTGTGAGATTTCTGCATGTATAAGGATAAAAGAACCCTCCAAAAAAAGTTAAATGTAAGTCAGAGTTCAAGAGATAGTTCCCTTTGAGATAGGTTCAAACGCAATCAACCCATACCTAGTGGAAGTTCCAAAATGAATGTCAATCTTAAGAATTAGGGAGCATGGGATTTATACACCTGCTTCCAGGCCTGTTTTGGGGCAAGCTGTCTATCTTCTACACCATTTAGACTCACTTTGCAACACAGTCTTAATGTCCTGGTTTCAGCCATCACACACCACACTCTCATGCTACAATGAATGTGGAGTGCTTGACCTCAGTAGAAAGCAAGCAGAGACGCCTGCTCTGTGGTAGTATCAATGTTTTTTTGGGTTGATTGGGTTTTGTTTTGGTGTTTTTTTTTTTTGGTCTTTTTGAGACACGGTCTCCCTGTAGCCCCAGCTGTCCTGGAACTTACTTTGTAGGCCAGGCAGGCCTTGAACTCACAGAGATCTGCCTGCCTCTACCTCCTTAGTGCTGGGATTAAGGTAGACCACAAAAGTGCCCATCAGTAGCAGTGTCTTTAAATTCAGTTCCACCATGGGAGAATTTAACTTGCTCTGGCACCCACTTAGATGTAGTCTCTTCCTAACTTGTTTCTCCTCTTTCTCTTCTTCCTTTGTTCTCACTTTTATCAAGAGCAACTGTTTTATCCTTGAATCACGAGATGTTCACTGTTTGGGTTTTTGTCTGAGATTGTTTTATTCTTCATCGAGTGCTGCATATTTTTTTCAGTACCACGATGGGTCTTTCCTCTAAAATGAATTTGGCCAGGTGTGATGGCTCACACCTGTAATCTCAGCACTTGGGAAGCTGAGGCTATTTCCTAGAGTACCAGGCCAGCCCCCGACTCCTTTCCATAAATACCAAGGGAAAATTATGCCCTTAGGGAGGTTGATGCAGGAGGATTTCGAGTTCAAGGCCAATCCAGACTAAGGAGCAGCGATAACTAGTTCCAAAAAAACAGAGTAAGAGAGGAGAAATCATGTAAATCAGACCAGAGCTTGAAATGTTAATATCCTTTTCCAAAGGAGCAGGCGCAGGCACTGCGAAGGCCACAAAGATAAACAGAGCTTCTGTTAAGGCGGACTGTGGTAAAACGGTGAGGCTCTAAAGACATCCTCAGATGACACGCCCACGACGTAGCCTCTGCGCCTACGTATCAGGTCCTGTGACCACAGAGTGGCCAAGTACTTTGTGCCGAAAGAATTCGCTCTCGGAGCCACCTCCGCAGCGCCTCAGACGCTCATCCAACGTCCTTTTTCGCCAGCGGTGTAAAGAAACTACATCTCCCGACAGGCAGCGTTGCCCCTTCCTCTCTCTCTCGATCCCTGGCAACGGCGTGACGTGAGGGGACCGGGAGCCTCGGTCACTGCTGCAGTGTTAACCTACCGGGCCGCGCGGTTGGGAGTTGGGCGGGAGCAGCCGGAGCCGCCCCACCGCCGCGCTCCAGGAGCCGTCTTCCAGACTGCCTTTCCGGCCTTGCCTCCTCCGCAGCGAGGAGGGAGCGGAGGGAGCCCGGCCGCTGAACCCTGGGGGCCCCTGTCACGCGCATGGCCTCTGCGGGCGCGCAACGGCTCCCTGCCCGGACGCGCGCGGCCGCCCGGAGCTGCTGCGGCCTCGCGCTGCGTTCGGGTGTGCGCCCGGCCCCGCCCCCGCTGCGGCCGCGACCAATGAGGTGAGAAGAGGCTTGAGCATCCGCGTAGGAGGGAAGGGGGTCGCCCAGCACCCCAAGTACTGCGGTGGAGGCTGGCAGCCCTTAGATCTCGGGGGGCTGGCATTGGTGGTGTCTTGGGTGCTAAACTGGAACTTTGGATAATGCGTTTACAAGTTAGATGCACGGGGTGGGCGCCAACCACTTCTTGGCCTTCGAGGGCACTCTGGCTTTCATAGGTCTGGCGGGCCCTGGGGGCAGTGATGCTTCCAGTGTTTGCTTGCTGCCCCAAAGGCAACTGGCGCTTCGGACGCGCCCTTCTGGTTCCCATCCCCACCCCTGGCCCTGTCCTCAGTTGCCCTCGACCTTTCAAACTCGTGACTGCCTGGCCAGCAAGCCCAGCGAGCTGCAGCAGGTGCTGAGAGTGAAAAGCTTGTCTGAACGGCCTTCCTCCACGATGCAACACTCTTCCCCTTCACCTGGAAATGGTTGAATACAAAAAAAAAAAAAAAAAAAAAAAAAAAAAAAAAAAAAAAAAAAGAAAAGAAAAAAAAGAATGGTGACGCTGCCTCTCCTTCGCTTTTGGTCTTAGGTTTCTGATTTCCTGCAGTGTCCTCTTGCCCCGGGCTGCCCAAGGCTTGGCTGCCGAGGCTGGCCTACCACCCAGTCGTTCCTTCATGGGTTTTGCAGCCCCCTTCACCAACAAGCGAAAGGCTTACTCGGAGCGTAGGATCATGGGGTGAGCATGCACCTCTTCCTCTCCAAACAAATAACCATGTACTAATAATGGGCAAGATTCATCCCAGGCCATCCACCTCTGCTGCCAGCCTTCTAACCTCTATCGCTTTCCTTGGTTGCTGTGCATGTGCACTGAGTAAAATGATCCTAGAATTAGGCTATACCCAGACATGTATCAAGACTTCAGGGTTGTTGGGTGTGGTGGCACACACCTGTAATTCCATCTCTTGGGAGGCCAGAGGCACCATTGCAAGTTTGAAGCCTTCCTTACTACATAACCAAACCATTATTTATTTCGTGTTATACATAGTGGGGGGGGTCTGTGTGTGTGTATTTGAGATGGTTTCCTGTAGCCTAGATTGGCCTTGAACTTGGTATATAGTAGAGGTAACCTTGAGCTTCTGACTATCCTGCCTCCACCTCCCTAGTGCTGGGGATTGAACCCAGGGCCTCATGCACATTAAGCAACCACTCTTATCAACTCAGCTACATACCCAGCTTTGTTTTTTTTGTTTTTATTTCTTGAGACAGAGTCTCACTATGTAGCCCTGACTGGTCTGGAACGCTGTATGTAGACTAGATTGTTCCTTTATCTGCCACAACACCCATGTATGTCCATACAGCTTTATGTCACATGGACATTTAAAAAAATATTTAAAAAATATTTTTTAATTTTATGTGTATGAATGTATTGCCTGCATGTAGGTAAGTGCACCCGTATTGTGCAATGCCCTTGGAGGACAGAAGAGGCTGTCAGATCCCCTGGAACTGGAGTTATGGACAGTTGTTAGCTGCCATGTGGGTGCTGGGATTGGAACCCAGGTCTTCTGCAAGAACCACCAGTGTTCTTAACCGCTGAGCCATCTCTCCAGCCCCCCCTTATAGACATTCTTGACTGCAGGTGCCATTGTGCATAGTCAAGCATGCTTTCACCAGTGTTCAGGTAAAGCAGTTGTCCCCAACATTCTCTGGCCTCTGTGCATGTATGGGCACATGCTGCTGCCCACAAGTGTACATACACTACAGTATACCCACTAAGAGGGCTGGGGATGTAGCTTAGTGGTAAGAGCACTTGCCTAGTATGTGCAAAGCCCTAGGTAAAAATAATCTTAGTTGGGAAGACCGGTGAGATGGCTCAGCAGGTAAAGGTGCTTGCTGCCAAACCTGACAACTTGAGTTCAATCCCTAGGACCCACATGGTGAAGAAAACTTACTCCAAGTTTCCTGACCTCCACACTTGCACTGTGGAATAGGTGTGTCCATACACATACAGGCAAAAAACAAAAATGTAATAAACTGCCAGATGTGGTATTAATCCCAGCACTCAGGAGGCAAAGGCAGAGGATCTTGGTGAGTTTGAGGTCAGCCTGGCCTGATCTACATAGAAAGTTCCAGGCCAGCCAGGGCTGTACCATGAGACCCTGTCTCAAAAATAATAAAAATAAAACTGTAATAAATTTAAAAAACCATAAAAACTTAGAGGGGCTGGGGAGGCAGTTCATCAGTTAAGGCTACATAATGCTTTTTCAGAGGCCCCAAGTTCCATTCCCAGCACCCAGGCAGGGTAGTTCACAACAGTTTATAATTCTCGCTCCAGAGGATCTTTAGGCACCTGTACTCGTGTGTACATACCCCCCCATACACACCCACACACACAAATTTTTTTTTGGTGGAGTGCTTATAATCCCAGGACCTCAGAAGCTGAGGCAGGAGGATCCCCCCTTAGTTTGAGCCCTATACTACAGACTGCATAGTTAGACACCATCTCAAACTGCTCTTGCAGAGGACCTAATTCAGTTTCCAGCACCCACTTGGTGGCTAATAACCATCCATAACTCTAGTTCCAGGAGATCATGTGCCCTCTTCTGATCTCTGCAGGCAATTACAGGTGCACTTACATGCATGCAAACAAAATACTCAAACACATGAAATAAATTTTAATGGGGGGGTAGTGAAAATGCTCATTGCTAAGGACTGAAGGGCTAAGAGTACTTGCTGCTAAGCCTGATGAACTAAGTTTAATCCCCAGAACCCACATGGTGGAAGGGGAGAGCCAGGCTTGGTGGTGGCATGCCTTTAATTCCAGCACTCTGGAGGCAGAGGCAGGTGATCTCTGGGATCTCTCAGTTCGAGGCCAGCCTGGTCTCCATAGTGAATCCAGGCCAACTGTGGCTATAGGGAGACCCTGTCTCAAAAAGACCAAAAAAACAAATGAGTTGTCCTCTAACCTCCAGTGTACACCATGGCACTTGGGTACACACATCCACACACAACAGACAAATTATAATAAAAAAACTTTAATTTTATGTGTATGAGTGTTATGCCTGCATGTAGGTTAGTGCACCCGTGTCGTACAATGCCCTCGGAGGACAGAAGAGGCTGTCGGATCTCCTGGAACTGGTGTTAGAGTTGTTAGCTGCCATGTGGGTGCTGGGATTCAAACCCAGGTCTTCTGCAAGAACCAGTGTTCTTAACCGCTGAGCCATCTCTCCAGCCCCCCAATTTTTTGTTAAGAGCATTGACTGCTCTTACAGAGGACCAGAGTCTGATTCCCAGCACCTACATGGCCACTAACAACTGTCTGTAACTCTAGTTCTAAGGGAATCCGACACCTTCTGACCTCTGTGGGCATTGCACAACATGGTTGCACTTACACACATGCAGGCAATATATTCATACACATAAATTAAAAAAAAAAAGATAACAGGAAGGTTGTATAGGTACCTCAGGGGCTAGGAGTACTTCCTGTTCTTCCAGAGGACCTGGGTTCAATTCCCAGCACTCTGTGGTCCTCTTCCAGCCTTCACACTACACATGCCAGTAAACATACCACTCAACAACACACTTGTACAAATAACTAAAAATTAAATAAATAAAAAAAAAACCTGGCCCACGCCTTCCTTTTATACCAGCACTGGGGAGGCAGTCAGAATCTCAGAATCGCTGTGAGATTGAGGCCAGCCTGGTCCACATAGCGAGTTCCAGGCCAGCTGGGGCTACAGGGAGACTGCCCCCCCCAAAAAAACCCCAAAACATACACACACCACCACCAAAAAGACAACAGGATATGATTTCTCTGATAACCTTAAAAAAAATGTGTTCAGAGTACAATAGAATAACTTATTGAGCACTTGTTACATGTTGGCAGCTAGGTTTAAGTAATCCCGAATGCTGGGATTACGGGGGGGGGCGGGTACCACCACACCCAATTTATGTGGTGCTGGGGATTGATCCCAAGGCTTCCTGAATATTAGGCAAGTACCGTACCAATTAAGCTACAATCCAATCCTATAGAGATTTTACCTAAACTCTCATTTAATCCTCACAATAAGCTTATAGACCAAGTTATTAGCTCCAATTTATAGACAGGAAAATGGAGGCATAGGTAGCTTACCTAGGGCCACACTACTAGAAAATTGTAGTGCTTCCAGTATTCAGGAGAATCACGAGCTGAAGCCAAGTTGGGCTATATAGCGAGTTCAAGGTCAACTTGGGCTACATAGCAAGACTTTTTTTAAAAAAAAAATTTGTTATTTGTCTTTTTTAGACAGGGTCTTGCTGTAGCCCCAGCTGGCCTGGAACTCCCTTTGTAGACCAGGCTAGCCTCGAACTCACAGAGATCCGCCTGCCTCTGCCTCTACCTCCCGGTGCTGGGATTAAAGGCGTGCACCACCACACCGAGCTGTTTATGTGTATGAGTGTATTGCCTGCATGTATGTGAGTACACCTGTGTCATGCAATGCCTCAGAGGTCAGAAGAGGGCTTCGGATTCCCCTGGAACTGGAGTTAAGGATGGTTTGATGGTTCGTAGTCATGTGGGTGCTGGGAATCAAATCCTGGTCCTCTGCAAGAGCAGTCAATGCTCTTAACCGCTGAGCCATCTCTCCAGCCCCACAAGACTTTTTTTTTTGGTCTTTTTGAGGCAGGGGAACTGTCTTAAAATGAAAATTGTGTCTATGAGATGGTCAGTGGGTAAAAGGCACTTGACACCAAGCCCAATGACGTAGTTCAACTCCAAAAACCCATGTGGTGGAAGGAAAGAACTGACTCCTGCAAGTTGTTCTTTGATTCCACATATATACACAAAATAAATCAATTTTTAAAAAGTAGATTTGGAGCCCAGCATGGTGGTAGAGGGAGGTGGATCTCTGTGAGTCAAGGCCAGCCTGGTCTACATAGCGAGTTCCAGGACAGCTGGGTCTACAGGGAGACCCTGTCTCAAAAAATCCAAAAAAAAAAAAAAAGTAGATTTGGGGGGCTGGAGAGATGACTCAGCAGTTAAGAGCACTGGCTGCTCTTGCAGAAGATCTGGGTTTGTATCCCAGCACCCACATGGTGGCTAACAACCATCTGTAACTCCAGTTTCAGGGGATCCATCACCCTCTTCTGTCCTCCATAGGCACTGCACAACAGGGGTGCACTTACACACATGCAGGCAATACACCCATACACATAAAAATAATAAATTTTTTTTAAAGATTTGGGATCTGGTTACCAATAAAACTGACAACCACCCATCTGTAAACTATTGGGGTCCAAATAATGAATATAAATAAAAGCATTCTAGGCTGAGAATATGTCTCAGTTTGTAGTATGAGTGCTTGCCTAGCATGCACAAAGCCCTGGGCTTGATCCCTACAACATACAAACTGGGTGTAGTACACATGTAATCCTAGCTCAGGTGGTGGAGGCAGGAGGATCAGAAATGCAAGATCATCCTGAGCTACAGACAGTTTGAGGCCAGTTTAGGCTATATGAGATGCCCCCCACCCCAACTCCCAGCAAAAAAGCAAAATACAAAGTAACATTAATATCATGGGGGCTTGCATGTTTCCTTTTGGTCATTCATTTAGGTTTGTTTAGGACGCCTAGGTTCCTGAATGTATATGGTTAGTGGGCAGAGGTATTATGAGAGCTAACGGTGAGGAGAAACCTGACCTAGCTAGCAGTTCCTTGGCCTCTGTGATTCCTTTTGCCTAGGTATTCAATGCAGGAGATGTATGAGGTGGTATCCAATGTCCAGGAGTATCGAGAGTTTGTGCCGTGGTGTAAGAAGTCACTGGTGGTATCCAGCCGTAAAGGTCACCTGAAAGCCCAGTTGGAGGTTGGCTTTCCACCTGTCCTGGAACGTTATACCTCTGCAGTCTCCATGGTCAAACCACACATGGTAAAGGTGAGGCCTCTCTGGGAGAGATTCATCAGTTTTTTGTTCCTTAGCATTTTTACATCTAAGGGTTATTTTGACCTTTCTGTAATTTATTTCTACATGTTAAATATTTACCTAATATTAGAGAAGAAAATAGCTTTTCTTTTGGGTGGTGCTGGGCCAACCCAGAGCCCCACACATGGTAGGCAAGTGGCTCTACCACTGAGCTATACCTCCTAGCTCCTTCAACGCCAGACCTCATTCTTAGTAATGTGATTTAACTAGCCAATTGTACTGTTCCAGGCTGTTTGTACTGATGGCAAGCTCTTCAACCACTTAGAGACTATTTGGCGATTCAGCCCTGGTATTCCTGCCTACCCTCGAACTTGCACTGTGGACTTTTCGGTGAGTCAGGTTTTGTGGCACAGGGTGTGTAAGGCTGGGTATGAGGGAAGCACTAAGCACTAAAGACATCACATCAGCAAGTTTCCATAGGTCTGAGTTTGTATGAAACTTGGGACTCTACTCAGTCCTGAGTTAGGGCTCTTAAGAGGGCGTGAAAAACTGGAGAGGGATGAGAAGAAAAGACACTGCAGATCAGATTTGGCTAGAACTATCCAACATGGTCTTGAAGTTTCTGACTGTCTCTTATGAATTCCCAGATTTCCTTTGAATTTCGTTCTCTGCTGCACTCCCAGCTGGCGACCATGTTTTTTGATGAGGTTGTCAAACAGAATGTTGCTGCCTTTGAGCGCCGGGCAGCCACCAAGTTTGGTCCAGAAACAGCCATCCCCCGTGAACTGATGTTCCATGAGGTGCACCAGACTTGAGACAATGGATTGTTCCCTAGCCTCTCTACCCCCGCTCCCACCCAATTCATATTTATTTGGTTTGGTTCTTGCTCTGAGAAAAGTCTACGTTCCACCTCTCAATTTTCCCCAAATTGGACTGTGTGCTGGCTGGAAATGTGGGGAAAGATAGTAAATATGGAAGTGAGATGCCTAGGAAAGGGTCAGGCTCCTTCTGAAAGCCCCATATGCCCACAGCCTTTTCATACTAATTAAGAACCAGGGGCTGGGCATGGGGCACAGAACTTTAATCCCAGGACTTGGGAGGCAGAGGCAGGCAGATATCTGTGAGTTCAAGGTTAGCCTGGTCAACATAGAAAGTTCCAGGCCAGCTAGGGGAAGTCAAAAAAGAGAACCAGGTCTGAGGTTGTCTCTGGGCTGGTTCAGGAAACCTTAATGCCGGATCAAGGGAAAACAGTAACTTCATGAAGGCTTTAGTAAATTGAACTTTTCCTCACACAGAAGTACTAGCTGGCAAGTAACTTTTGTCCTGCCTGAGATTCCTCAGGAGAAAAAGGTAACCTGCCTCCCAGTGTAAGAATATGTCTGCTGCCTACTGAGTGGAAAGTGAGGAGCTGCTTTGCCTCAGTGCCAGGGTGAAGGAGAAAAAGCACTGGACAGAGTTGTCTGTACTGGTGGCTTGTACTTCATTTTTCCACATGGCCTGAGTTTTTATAAAATTTCAATAAATTGTGACAGTGTGAATTTGCCTTTTTTTTCTATTGTTTCTTGTGGAGGGGGAATAATGTAGATAATGCAGAGTAGAAGAAAGCCCCAGCTTCCTTTCCTACAGGAGTAAAGGTGTAAGAAGACAGCCTCTTGGACACAGTGTCCCTGCTAACTATAGTAGCACATTCTGTATGCCAGGACCTAGGACCCACCCTCTTGCCTATTTATAAACTTTTTCAGAAGGTCAGTTGCAGCAGGAATCTCAGGACAGAATCATATGGTCTCTGACCTCCCATGTATCTAATGCCCTCAGGACCACTCCTGTTATGTTTTTTTTTTTTGGGGGGGGGGGTGCTCAAGGAAAACTACAAAGAGTGGACATACTCTAAGAGCCCTCTAGTGTCCAGGTTTGGAGCTAAAAGTCCTACTCCATCTGACCTAGTACAATTTTTGTTCCTTTCATCCACTGGGCTGGACTAGCTCCTGTATTAGTCACAGAATCAGTTATGAGATCTCGGCTATAGTCCTTCAAATTAGGAAGGATGGGGGTTAAAGGTAAAGGACTTTTTAACCTTGAGGAAAGACTGAACTTTCCTTTTGCAATCTCATAGGGAGTCTTTCCTCTGAATACCCACTTGCCTTAAGATAAAGAGATACACAGGTACTTATAACTTACTAAGTTCAAGGCCTTACTACTCAGATCCCTTACCGTATAATGAAGATTCTTTTAGGTTTTATATAATAGCAGGCTCAAACATTGTTAATAAAAACATTTATTATTTTTTAAATTTTATACAGAAGAACCTGAAGTCTGCATTATGACCGAACAGTTAAAGGGGTTTACAGTGTGTTCATCTTAACAGTGTGGTTCTGGGGTTTGGGTTCCACACAAGCACAGGCAGGAGTTTTGGGGTGAAGGAGGGGTACAACAGGAGTGTATTTTAATCTTTTCTCAAAGAAAAGGCTGAGTCACCAAAAACCTGTGCAAATTGGGCTAAATAAACACTATACTGTGAACTCTTACACTGATAAATAAAGGAGCATTTCCTTATGGCAAGGGAAGAGAAGGAGAGGCTTTATTTTGCATGCCTTCAACCCTAGGACCATCTGATATTCAAAGGGGACTATGTTCAATCTTGAATCATATCTCTGTTGAAAAAAGAAAATGCTAAAACCTCTGGGACCAGACTATGAAGGGGCTGGTCTTTCCTGAGCCTCTATTCTATGTGTCACAGACTATTAACAGAAGATAACAAGGTCAGAGGGTAGTGGCTTATGTTCCATGGAAGTAAAAGGCCTAGTTCACATTAAGTATTGATAAAAAGCAAACGACTAGGAAGACCACAGATGAGACAAACCTGCTAAAAGAGGGCCCTAGTAGAGACCAAGACGGGGAGATCTGGAGCATCCTCAGCTTGAGGTACAGTAGGTATAGAAAGTCTGGAAGGAGGTACTACTGTAGTAGGAAACAGAACACTTCCAGACCTTAATTTTATTTTATATTTATTTTTTGGTCTTTTTGAGACAGGGTCTCCCTGTAGCCCCAGTTGGCCCGGAGCTCGATACATAGACCAGGCTGGCCTCAAACTCAGAGATCCTCCTTCCTCTGCCTCCCAAGTGCTGGGATTAAAGGCATGAGCCACCACACCCACAGACCTTAATTTTAATGGAATAACTTAAAAAAAGAGAATTGAGTCAAATGCTGGGTGCCAATCACAATAAATACTATGTATTTATGGACACCTGATAACATAAAAAGTTACCAAAGCATGTCCAACCAATAGGTCTCACTAGGAGGCGTTTATGTATGAGAGGCCCCATGGGGTTTGACCCAGCTGATGATCCAACAACTGATTCCTATGGAAACAAGGAGCACAGCCCTGACCTGCCAATCTAGAGTGAAAGCAAAAGCTCCAGAGTGACTGCAACTTTCTTGTAACCTGGTTTGATCTAAAGAAAGAGGAGCCAGACTCACTCTAAGAGATGTTGGGTAGCCATCTCTAACCCATACCACATGCATTAGTCCTAGGCATCCTACAGCTGACTGATGGGCAACTCCAGGCAGGTAGGAAGGAGAAGAGAGCTGGTTAGGGAAGAAGGGGTCACTTTTCATCTTTTAATTTACATTTTAACTTCAAACTTATTTTCAGTGCCTCAAATACAGTTTAATCTTATGTCTTTAAAGGCCCCTGAAACAAAACAAAATTATACTTTATTTTTAAGCTTTCTCCAATTTCTTGTAGTCAGTTTCTCCCCACAATCTCCCATTTTACCCTGACTTAGAGTCCACAAATTTCATCAGACCATTCGTGCTCATGGACTTGGGCCTTTCCAGAGGGAAGCCTAGGGCTCGACTCCAGATGAGCTGTGCTAGCACACCCAGTGCCCGGGACACCCCAAACAGGACTGTGTAGTAATTCATCTCCGTCATGCCGTAGTACTGTAAAGTAGAGAGAGAGAGAGAGAGAGAGAGAGAGAGAGAGAGAGAGAGAGAGAAAAGGCTTTGTTAAGGGCCCAGAGACAATAGCATGTGTGACAGGAACCTTAGAGGCTCCATTTTCCCCTTTTCTCAGACAGCCCAGTCTTAAATAGAAAGGACACTGGGAAAAGTACAATTCAGATTTAGAAAAGAGAGCAACCCAGGCCCCCATCCCTGCCACAAGCAGATTTATCACAGGGTTCTTTGGGTTAAGGAGATGTAAGAGTCCTTGCTTTGGTGGAATCTGATAAATGTAGACCTATAATCCCTAACTACTCAAGAGGCTAAGGTGGGATGATCAGAAGTTCAAGGTCACAGGCTGGGGAGAAATCTCAGTTGGTAGAGTGTTTGACATTCAAGCATGAGGACTTCAGATCAGATCCCCAGTACCTATGTAAAATGCTAGGTGGTATGGGGACTGCCTGAAATCCTAGAGACAGGAAAATCACTGGAGTTCATTGGCCAGCCAGCGAACTGAGTCAGTGAGCTCTACATTCAGTTAAAGATCCTGTCTCCAAAAATAAGGTGGAGGGGCTGGAGAGATGGCTCAATGGTTAAGAGCATTGGTTGTTTTCGAAGAGGACCTGGGTCTGATTCCCAACACCCACATGGCAGCTAACAACCATCTGTAACTATAGCTCCAGGGAAATTCCATGTTGTCTTCTGACCTCCACATGCACTGCACAACATGGGAGCACTTTACATACATGTAGGCAATACACTCATACACATAAAATAAAACATTAAATAAATAAAACATTAAAAACAAAAATAAGCTGGAGAGCAATATAGGAAGCCACCTGGCATCAACCTCTGGCTTACACACACACATGCATTCTTAACCCTCTCCCAAAAAAGAAGGGGAAAAGAAAAAGAAAAAAGTCCGGTCAGGGAAACTTAGCTGAATTTGTCTCAAAACTAGAAAAAACAGCTGGGAATGTTGCTCCATGGAAGAGTGTTTGCCTAGTATATATGAGGTTTGGGGCTCCATCCCCTCACTGACTAGGGATGTTGATTTTGTGCCTGGCAGAGTACAAGACTGAGGTACAAATGAGAGAAAGCAAGGAAGAAAGGACTCACCTGAAGCAGCACCCCACTGTGAGCATCTACATTGGGCCAAGGATTCTTGGCTTTCCCCTGCTCCAAGAGGATATTGGGCACAATCTTGTACAGCTGGGCAACCAGCTTAAACATGGGGTCATTAGGTAGGTGCTTCAGAGCAAACTCTCGCTGACAAGAATATCGTGGATCAGTCTTCCTAAGCACTGCATGACCATATCCTGGAACAACCTGTAAAGGGTAGGAAAACAAAAGTTGGTATTTGTAGGTAGAAATTTTTTTTCCCTTACATTCTTAGGGTAAGCATACAGGCCTGTTGCTCCAACTACTAGGGAGCATGAGGCAGAATTGGGAGTTCAAGGTCAGCAAGGGTAATTTAGTAGAACCCTGTCTCAAAAATAATAAAGAAAGAAAGAAAATAAGAGCCAGAGAGTTAGCTCAACAGTTAAGAGCACTGACTACTCTTATAGAGGCCTCTGGTTTGGTTACCAGCATTCATGTGGTGCAGCTTATAACTACCTATGACTTCAGCTCCAGGAGATCAGATGCCTCTTCTGGTCTCTCTCTGCATAATGGGCTAGAGAGATGGCTCAGCGGTTAAGAGCACTGACTGCTCTTGCAGAGGACCCGGGTTTGAGTCCCAGCACCCACATGGCGGCTATGAAGCATCCTTAACTCCAGTTCCAGGGGAATCCGACACCCTCTTCTGACCTCTGGGGCACTGCATGACATGGGTGCACTCACATACATGCAGGCAACACATTCATATTCATACCCAATAAAAAATAAAAAATAAAATAAAAAATAAAAGGGGGGGGCTGGGGATATGGGTTACTCCTGAGCACTTGTATCCTGGGTTCAATCCCACTATCATAAAAAGGAAAACCAAATTCACAAGGTAAACAAATAGGGAAAAAAAAATCTTGCTTAATGTAGGAACTGATCTTTTTTTTTTTTGAGACAAAGTCTTTCTGGCCTGGAACTTTCTTCCAAATTCTAGTGTTTGGGTCTTGATTTTTTTCTTAGTTGCTAAGCATCTCTGCTTACCCGTCCTGAGTTAAGTGTATTCCAGATGTAGTCTCGTAACTTCTCATCTGATACATCTTTGCCAACTTCTTTCTGTAGCTGTGTTAGCCAGACAAGTACTTCCTACATGTAAGAGTGGGGTGGGTAGGGGGGGAATGTCAATATGTATGCCAAGGAAAGAATGTCAAGATAAGGAATAGAACATGTAAGTAAAGTCCAAAATGGGGAGCAGGAAAAAACTAGTCTTACCTGATTTGCTAGACCATGTAGAGGCCCTGCCAGTCCATTCATGGCTGCTGCAAAGGATAGGTAAGGGTCTGAAAGGGCACTGCCCACCAAGTGGCTGGTATGGGCACTTACATTACCACCCTCATGGTCACTGTGGATAAATAAGGCAGAGACAAAGGGAGGGAGAAATCGCTGATTAATGAATCAGATTTTGCTTTTGTCACATCTTGGCCTAGTTATGGGCCACATCTGCCTATAGCCAGTCAGTTGAGACCTAAGCTCTTATAAAAAAGAATATCCTAAGCTCAACATCAGCTTTTGTTCTCTAATACACAGAGCTGAAAAAGTTAATGGTTGATAATGTCTATAAGCCCAGCTCTCCCACTCCCATACCAGCTACCCCCCTCTGACCCCCACTTTCAGTGTTATATCACTAGGCTACAAAGTCTCAGCCACTTATCTCTCTGCTTTAATAAAGCTGACCAGAAGAGGGAGCCCCTACAAAGTTGAAGGACCCAATAATGTGAGTGGCTAGTTCCTTTTCCTAATTAGATGCACGACCCAGTTTTTAGTATGGTTATAGCAATTTCCCTAGGCCTTCCAGCTTTCCTTATTAGGCCCCTTTATTGCCTAGCATCAATCCTTACATGTTTTCATCTCTTTGCTACAAACTACCTGTTCTCAAATGGAACATTAAGGAGCTTTTAAAAAGTTGCCCACCAATCCAGACCATCAGTGGCTACAGCTGCTGAATCTAGCTCACCTGTGGATGGTGAGGTACAAACGCATGAGCTCAGTGAATTGAGCATCAGTATAGCCTAACATGTTGGTGAAATTGTGGGACCAGTCCAGCTTAGAGTCAATGGCCCCAATACTGCTGCCCTCCCGATAAAGATTCCGGTAGATCTTTGCTGCAACACAAGGTAGCTTCGCAATCAGGTCCATACAGTCTTCATAAATCAACTGATGAAAGAAAAGGAAGATGGGGGAAAAAATGGAATTACCTACAAAGAATTAGGATGGGGTACTTTGTCTTCCAGTCTGGGCTATTTGGGGTGATAGGCATATGCCAGGTAGTTACATATTAAGTATGTTCCAAAGTATGGAATAACAATAATCACTCACCTACTGAATAAGTTACTATGACCCAGGTTTATAATATCCAGTGTGGATACATGCCTTCCTACTAAATATGTAATGACCACCATTCACAGATGAGGAACTGAGTTTCACAGAATTCAGTTATGTATTAAAGTCAAATATGAACCCTGATGTGTCTAATCATGATCTTCTCAAGTATACTATAACTTTGCATTAAACAAATGTGCTTAGACACCATCTTTTAAATTTTTACAACTTTTATTTCTTATTGTATGTGTATGTACATGGTATATGTGTGTGTGTGTTGTGTGTGTGTGCTGGGGGTGTGTGGGGCACATACCACAGTACACATCTGAAAGTCAGAGGACAACTTTGTAAAGTCTGTTCTCTTCCCATCTTTCTAGGGTTCTAGGGTTGAATTTAAGTTGCCAAGCTTGTGCGACAAGTATCTTTAACTACTGAGCCATCTCACTAGCCCATTTAAAAAAAATTATTTTATTTTACTTATGGTTTAAAATGAATTCTACATTTTTAGGTTCTAGAGAAAATTCACTATATGCCAAGGATCAAACAGTGCTGGACAATTACTGAATAGCAAAAGCCTCTACTTTTTAAGGTATTTATTACGTAAGAGGCATTGTGTTACATGTATCCATCACCATAGACTTTAAATGTATGCAGTTCCAGAGGAGGCCTGAAGAGGGTGTGGGATTTCCTGGAACTGGAGTTAAAGATGGATGGGTGTTAGCTGCACTGTGGGTGCTAGCAATCAAACCTAGGTCCTGTGGGAGAGCAGCCAGTGCTCTTAACCATTGAGCTGTCTCTCACGCTCCCCTGGATTTTTGTGTGGTAAGTATATTTAAAATCTACTCTTAGCAATTTTCTGTTAGCTATAGTTGCCATGTGTACAACATATTCTTTCTGGTGGCACTTGCTTTATCTCCTTATATTCACTTTCCTCCCTCATCTCCTAATTTCTTCTTTTTTTCCTATAGCAATCCCTATTGATCTGAGGGCTTCAAACAAGGTAGGCAAGTTTACCACTGTTACCTTTAGGCTCACTCACTCTTTGTGAAACCTTGAAAAAGGATGTTGAAACATTCCACCAGTATGGGAATGTCGTTCATTCATTGGCAGAAAACTTACTCAGTATGCATGAGGCATTGGTTTGATTCTGGACACTTCCCTAAAAACATCCTCCAAAACAAAAAATATGCCACTATCACAACTGTCTTGAATAAAGGAGATGTAACCAACCATAGTCCTCATGTATCAACAGCTGTATTGTTAGTAAAATTCTGGACAAGATTCTTACATTTAGCTACCATTCATCATTCACAGAATTCAGAAAAAGCAGAGTCATTAATGGTGAACAGATCCTAGAGTCAAGCAAACTGAAGTTTTTATCTGATCTTTACCATTTACTGTGTGACTCGGGCAAGCTTCTTCCATAATCTTTATTTTTTCTTTTTCATAAAATGTAAAATTAAATTGGGCTAGAGAGATGGCTCAGTGGTTAAGAGCACTGACTGCTCTTGTGGAGGACCCAAGTTTGATTCCCAGCACCCACATGGCAGCTACGAACTGTCCTTAACTCCAGTTCCAGGGGAAGCCCTCCTCTGATCTCTGTGGCATTGCACAACACAGATGCACTCACATACATGCAGGCAATACGCGCATAAAATAATTTTTAAAAATGTGAAATTAAATTTAAAATATGAGGGGGCTGTAGCTCAGTTAGTAGACTGATAGCCTAGCATACAGGTTGCACCCCCAGCACCAACAGACCAGGGTGATAATCTGTAATCTGAGCACTCCATAGATGGAAGCAAGAGGATCAGGAATTCAAGGTCATCTTTCACCTTAGCCAGTTCCTGGCCAACCTGGGCTACATGACACACTCTGTACTAAAACAGCAACAACAAAGAAATGTAACACCTCACAGAATTATTCTAGGTATTAAATCAGATAATGCATAGATGCATAGAGTATTTGTTTTTTTTTTTTGTCTTTTAGGGACAGGGGCTCCTTGTAGACCCAGCTGGCCTGGAACTTGCTATGTAGACCAGGCTGGCCCCAAACTCAGAGATCCCTTGGCCTCTCCCTCCCAAGTGCTGGGATTAAAGGCATGTGCTACCATGCCTGCTGTGTTTTGTTCTTTTTAAAAAATATTATTTAACATTTTTATTTTATGTGTTTGAATGTATTACCTCCATGTGGGTGAGGGCACCTGTCATGCAATGTCGAGGTCAGAAGAGGGCATCAGAGTCCCCTGAAACTGGAGTTAAGGATAGTTCACAGCCACCGTGTGGGTGCTGGGAATGGAACCCAGGTCTTCTGCAAGAGCAGTCAGTGCTCTTAACCGCTGAGCCATTTCTCCAGCCCCAGTGTTTCTTTTTTTTAGTCTTTTTGAGACAGGGTCTCCCTGTAGCCGCAGCTGTCGTGGAACTCACTATGTAGACCAGGCTGGCCTTGAACTCACAGAGATCTGCTTGCCTCTGCCTCCTGTGTATTTTGTTCTTTTTGAAACAGGATCTCACTATGTAGACCAGGCTGGCCTTGAACTCACAGAGATCCGCTTGCCTCTGCCTCCTGTGTATTTTGTTCTTTTTGAAACAGGATCTCACTATGTAGACCAGGCTGGCCTTGAACTCACAGAGATCCGTCTGCCTCTGTCTCCTGTGTATTTTGTTCTTTTTGAAACAGGGTCTCCCTGTACCCCCAGGCTGGCCTGGAACTCAAAGATCCACCAGCTTCTCCCTCCCAAGTGCTGGGACTTGCACTACTACGCCTGGCTTTGTTTTGTTCTTTTTAAGACAGAGTCTTGCTATGTGGCCCAGGCTGCTGGCCTTAATTCTAAAGTCTTAGCCTCCTGAGTGCTGAGATTACAAGTATACACTACCTTATCTTCATAAATGCTTTTTAAGCAGTTGT